CAGCTGAACCGACAATCGTTTGTCCTAGCTGACATGACTACTAGTTCCCAACAAACTTCTGTAAGAAATTTGACAATTTTTAACTAGGCTGATCAGATCGAGCAGTCAAGTCCATAGGGTGATCTATATAAAATGGAGCAAGATTCCTGTCGCGTTCTCGTAAGTTGTTACACAAATGAAAACAGCTGGTGCTGATAAACATCTCTCATCAGGATATGACGTTTTTAAAGCGATTACCGCTTCGCTAAATAAACAAAAAAAGCTACGCTGCTTAGAAATAATTTAAAACAGCTTCCTAAATTCACGAGTGGGGCGATATTCTTACGAGTCTATTTGCCCCACTTAGACACACTAGACACAGCCTTTCGGTCTAATAGTTGGCCAAATGTTCTGAAAACCTTATTTTTGTATCGACGTTCTGGCATCATTACAAATAGCTCATTAGACTTTGTTAACGAAATTTTTAACATTTCTGATCTGATTCTGCAATTAGCCGTATGAAGGTATTTCTCGGATTGTTCTAAAGCATCGTAGAGTGTGGCAGCAGCAGACATCGACGATTTTGAAGAACCAGAAATGTTAACTGTTTAATAGGAGTTCGTCCGGTATTCATACACTGGACTATAGCTAGTCATCGGTCATGTTGTGAACACGGAGCTCCCGCGTACGCCTGAGCAGGTTCTTGCTTTTCTCGAAGAAAACTGAGTTTCTTCTAGGACAAAACACTTGAAAACTGCGTGTTCAAAGTTCGTCTAAATATTCTAGAGATTATCGTAAATAGTTCATAGATCCAAACGCGCCACTTAGACATCGCAGACCAGTGTGACGGTGCAGTGATAACATACTTGCGTAGTAAACCTATAGACCTGTGGCGGTATGGTACAAGTTCGAAACTGGATATGGGCATGTTAAAAATTAGCCGTCTAAAGCGACGCTTAACGACAAGACCGAACATAACGCCTGAAACTTTAGTTTAACGCGATTTTTATATGATTGGGAATTTCGGGTCACATTTTTTGACGAGTCATAAGTGAATCTATTCAGAGTATTTGTAAGTCTTTTACATAGAATGGAGTTTTAGATTGCAACGTTTGCTACATCTTGCTGCTGGCATCAGTATTTTCAATAGTCGACCGTAGAACTTGCGTTACAGACGTAAGGACTTCGTTCTGAACTAACTGAATATGTTTGAAGCTATATTTAGAGGGTATAATAAATCCTTCGCAGTTTGTCCTAGGTACGCAGGTCTCTAATTGTAAGCTTTGATTGCCAGTCTTCGTTTTCCTTTTTATTGGGTTACATATGCCACTTGATAATCTACCCACATCAATGGTACACAATTCGGTCGGGCGCTATCTTTTGAACGGCCGTGCTGTAATTCAAATAGATTAGCTAATTCTAGTTACAGACGTATCACGTGAAATATGGCAGCACGAATGGCATCAGGAGGTTAGTGAGACCTCCTGATGCCATTCGTGTAAAAATACGCGGCCGCATTATTCCTGACAATCTTTATAAACTGACATTCAGCTGTCTCTTTCGCAACAGGCGTCGGTATTGATGTTTGGTGTGCCTCAAAGATCTACCAGAATCCGGACTTCTACGAGATCAATTTGGACAAGGCGAGCAGTAGAATACACCACTTCTATATAGTGAAAACTTTTTTGTGTACTCAGATTTTTACTGCAGGACCCACATGTGTCCAAGCCCAAATTCGAATTTCAACCACTTGTATCGCTCTAGTCAGAGTACAAATGCGTTACCACTGTACCATTGGGTTGTTTTTTAGCACTATGTAACCCTACGTTAACCCACTATATGTACGACGGTTGGCTAACGATTACGAAAACTGTTGATAGTTGCAAATTGCAAAATAAAATTAGTGTTAATAAAGCGTGCTTTCACGTTCCAATTCGTGGTTTCGCATAAGTTTTTTTCAAAAGTAACTTTCATTTTTTGCTAGAAAGTTTTTTCCCGGGCCCTCCATCGACTACAAAATAAAAATAGCATTAACATATATTTAATAATATCGATACTTACCAAGTCGCAGAAAGCTAGCTCTCAAAAGTGTATTTGCTTAACGTAAAACTATTTTACTTCTCACATTTTTAGGAGGTTTACGGAACATAGGGCTTTGATGTCCTCTTCAGTCTGACACTCATCAGGTAGTTTCTCGATAAAATAGATACCATAATTAGATACCAAAACGAAGGAGATGCTTTGCCTTTGTAGTTATTAAAATGAAGAAAAACGGGTACAGAATATAAATGCTTTGGGCGTACGCAGGTTGTACTTTTTTTGAAAATTACTTTTTGTAAAAGCGACCATTGTAAAATAACATGCGAGAGGAGTGACTGGAAAGAATACATTCCCTCCAGTACTCCATTTTGTCTCTTTGATTATTCAAATATCTGTGTGTTTCTAGAAATAATAACACAATTGTTTTAGCAATAATTATACAACATTGGCGCTTACGCCGTCACCACCAATTGTAACGGTAATAAAAGTTTCCTGTACCACTGACTTCGACCCGAAAGAAACCAAAAGAGCGTCTATCTTTATTCGAAACCGTTTAAGTCCACCACACTCACATTATTCGATACGAAAAGATTAATTACAAATAGGGTAACTTTTTGGAGCGAAGTTAGCATATTCCTGCACATGACCAGCCCGGGTGTACACATTGCGTTGAAACCGTCAAAACGCGATTTGGATTTTCAGAGCCCAAGCTTAGTTATGACCATTTGACTAAGCGTTTTGAAGTTTGCCGGACAGGAACGAAGATGCGTTTCGAGTCGCACGGGGTACGCAAAACAACTCGCTATTATATTGTAGAACATAAATACACAGTTTTCATAAACGTGCAGTTGAAGTTCTCCAAAAGCGAACAAATATCTCAACTCGAGTATTACATGGCTTTCAGAAAAACAGACAGCCCTTGAGCGTGTGTGTGTATTTCGTTCACATCTACGTAAACGGAAAAGTGTAGGCTTTTTTTTACCGTAAGCCGCCCTTTACGTACTCATATTGATACTTAGTTTGCACACCCAGAGAGGCGCTCATTGCATTCATTAATAACCGAAGTTAGGGGTAAATTAGGGGTCATCACCTGAGGCAAGCAACAATAAAATAGGTTTCTGTTAGCAGGTGAGAAATAAATACAAAGACGTAACAAATCTGCAAATAAGCATTCATTTCTACCGAGATAATATATTGACTGGAAAAAGCACACGGGTAATTTGGTTGGGGTCTTAATATGTTACAAGGGTAATGAGTCCGAGTAAATACTTTTGTAAAAATGTATCGTTCGATAACCGTCTGTTTCGTTTTTCTCTGGTTTCCTTCTAGGTGGTACGTTAACAGTTCGCCATTATCAAGACCAATGAAAAATTCGTTCACAGTCAAACGATACGAATTATTTTTCACGTTATTAAAATGGAAAATCACTAAATAGATTATAAGAGCAAACTGAAACACGTGCCGTGTACGTCTTAAGCAGCCCGCGGTACCGCGCCCAAAGACGCACACACACAATTCACAGGAGCTGGAGCGCTATGATATGGCAATTTTATGACACAAAACTACCTGTCGACATTGTTTACGCTCTGCGTCGTAAGTTATCGTTTCAGCCAATTTACGCCTGCGTCTAAGAAACCGAAGTGTGCCATATTTAATATGAGCATACTCGTGGACTTCAGGCGCCCTCAGTTCATATGCTCGGTAGTAGTAGAACGGGGTCGACCGTTCCATTACGCCCCGTCGAAGTCGGTTGACAGGTTGCAAGCATGAAATATTATAGTATACGCTATCGTGACATGTTTCCGCAGAGTGACCGTTGCAATGTTGAACAGTAAGCGCGGCCCCGTATTATGTTCCTTCTGTGAGGCGCACACACTTTTCGTTCCGGTTTCGTAGAATGAATTTTTTTCGAATGATGAACTTCATATATGAAGTATCTTGTCTGTTGCTATACCGCCACATCGTATGAGGCTTTACTGTTGTAAGGCTACCTGGAGTTTCTTTCTATATCTATCTATTTCACTCAACGGATTTCTGTTAACGAAGATTAAATATTTATTAAATAAGAATCGCTTGTAAAGGGAAAGGAGTTCTTTTAGGCCGTCCCAAGTATTGAGAATTATGCTCGGCTTGAGCGTAACAATCGGCAATCCGCTCTAAACCCGAAAAAATAGTTCGAGCCAACCACACAAAGCGTTCGTTCACGATAATTAAGTTATAAGATACAACCCGACACGATCTATCGAGCGCCGGTAAATGAAGTTACTTCGAATCCTGCTGCTCCCAAATCGCACTGATTTCATCATCTATCCCTGACATATGTCTGAAGTTACTGTGTTTCTCTCCAGCTGTCACTATCGTTCTCATCGAAGGCTGCCTTTCCGCTCGTTCCTGTTGGTCTGTGTTATTTACCGCATACTGCGAACCCGTTACGCAATGTCCAAAATCACCGAATACCTCTGGAGATAACTCATACGGATCATCTTTAGCAGAACCTTTAGCGCATCTTCCTGTTTCATCATTGCATAATTTCGAATGTGCTATATAACGCTTAAGGGTATAGCTATAAAGTTCAGGCATATAGACTTTGCAGGCCGCGGTGCACTCATCAATCCAGTTGACGAATTCAGCTTCTGGATATTTGCAAACCATTGGTCCTTCCCACGCTGGAGGTAAGTACTGCAGAGACCGGACGATACCGACAAAAGTTAGCATGGTCAATAGTTGGCCCACCATTATTTCTTCACTTTATCAGCTACACTTGTCTCGCACGATTACGCTCCTGAACTGCGTTTTCGTCATAACGTATAACTACATAATTATTGTTTATATCAACGAAATGTAGATTGTCCGATTCAAGTGTACATGCCATAAAAACATATGGTGATATTGCAAGATAACGAATCTTATCGTTCCATTAAGTATTGCTTTCTCTGAAGAAACTTAATCACTATGCCTTCATGTTTAAACGTTACAATAGCCTTAAGTAAACACGTAAAAAAAATTGCTTTAATTTATGCTTATAAATTTTATGTTATCATTGTCATACTGTGCTATTTGTTCAATATGTCACTTCGATATACGGCAGCAATACGAGACAAGTGACTACTATTGACTCATTCAGGTACAACGGATCTTCGACACGGAGTACTTTTGTAGGAGTGTCGCACTTCAAAGGTAAATTTAGATAATCCCATTACTCTACACCGTCAATGCAACTGTTTACCGATGCCCTTTATATATATATATACCGATCACACCCTATATATATATATATATATATAGGGTGTGATCTCAGTTGGTTTATCCAGTAAGCTGTAGGCAGAGATAGTCGTAATAAAAGCACAATAATTTTATATCATTTTAAAGATCTCGTAGGTAGGTAGTGATGTTTAGACCTAAATAATGAGAGGCGGTCAAAGTGTACTGCGGCGTGCCCTCAAATATGGCAATCTTCGTGAGTGAAGCTGGTAAAATTGAAGATAACAGATATAACTCAGCCTACAGGATAGAGCTCCATAAAGTTTGCCGTTTCACTTTTAAAGCGCAGGCGCTTAAGGCGCTAACTACAGTAGCCCGTCTCCAAACACTAACCCTATGTGAGAAAAGTTCCTCTTGCGAATGTCGAGGGATAGTTTCGAATTGTCCGTGCCCGCTATTGTGTCCGCTCTGCGTAGGTGACCACGTGCGTGTAAGGAACTTTATAAGGCGGGCATGGCAAAAGTAACTGTTAGCAGTCGTCGACCTTGGCATGAAATTATTCCTTGTTCCTTTCCTCGATTTTGGCATTGTTGAACGTCGACTATCAGCGTTTTCATCATCGCCGCCGCGGTGGCTCGGAAACGTCGTGCAACATCTTGTCTCTTCCATTGTTTTGCATAGGAAACAACAGATTTCGAGAGAACAGATCCACAGAACAGAACAACGACCAGAATGGCGGGGGACCAGCGGAGGCTGTAGCAACACCAACAACAATTGCGCCGGCATCAGCAGTGCTGACACCAGCAAAATAAGGAGCACAAATAGCAGCCATTTTCATTTTGACCTCGAACAGAAGTGGTGGCACCGCGCTGGTGCCACCAATCCTTGAGTAGGTACTGAGGCAGTTGGGGCTGCCGCAGACGCGAGGAACGTAAAGGCCGCTTCGTTCACTACGTTGACATTTCCGAAAAGAAAAACCAGGTTTAACGACGCTTGATGCTGGCTGGCTGCATCAGTCGCTAGGCCAGCAGGTCAGCCCGCCTTATCGTCGTTGGCTAGAAAACGCCTCTGAGTAAACCGCTTTCCGAAGCTTAAGCAGATCGGCTGACTTGACGGGGGGAGGGGGTAGCGGAGTTTCGCAAGCACCTACTCACTGACTGACAATGCAGTGTAACAGTGAAGGCGATAGTTATTGCCAGCGAATGCAGGTACTGCACATAGCTGGACGGTACAGACAGACAGACAGAGGCGCGGGGCGCTTATAGACATTGAAGTTATAGACGCTGAGGCGGGGGGCGGGGGGCGGTGAGACGTCGCGTGAAAAGCTCACTCGCTTGAGAGCATATAGCATGGAACGTATAGGACGTTCACCGCTTTCAAGTTGCCACCGCTAGCACGGACGATGCCGGTGGAGTGCTAGGTAGGAGAATGAGCTAGAGGCGAATTGAGCAGCAGACCTGGTAACCTGTATGGTAGCGAAACTGCTTTGTCTGTATTGGAGTTATGTGTGAGTCTGGAGAAATCAGAAGATGGATGCTGTTTCTATCCAGCAGGAATGTCAACTCAGATGTGATACAACGGAAAAGCAAGGGGGACGTGCCAAAGACTAACCCTATGTGAGAAAATACTCTTAACAAAGTTCCTCTGGCGAATGTCTAGTACGCTTCGTCGCTTTAGCGAAGAACAGTAACTGAAGAAACTAGACCTGTTCCTTTACGAGAGAAATTTTTTGTTTTAAGGAGATCGATTCAAATCTGATGTAGAAGCGGCCGATTGAAGTTGCCACAAAAAACGGGAGGGGGTAGAAAGGTTAAATTGAAAAAAATTTAAAGTTTACTTAAAAAAATGTAAACCTCGGGCGCTTCCAAGTTGATTCTCGGCTCTAAAAAGTAATCCTCCATTAATTATTTTCGCAATTGCAAATACCATTATTGTTTCGGACCTAATTGTAAATGCATTGATATGCAGGGCTGAACTCAGTCAATATCACGTCTGCTGTCATATGCGTCCACTATATAATCCACCGTTCTACTTCATCTAACGAAGATTTAGCTCTGAATCAGAAAACCTGTTGAAAAAAAAAAAGAAATATATTATATATATTTTATAAGCAGTTATAGGATTTCATGGTTGCAACAATAAGCCATACGATGTGTCTCAACCTTATCAAGACTATCTGAAACAGACAGCAGATCTATTGCTCCATGGCACCCATCATACAAAGTTTTAAGCGAAAGATAATAGACCTAAATTGTTACTACCATGGATGCTTTACAAAGCTAAATAGGATAATAACATTTTCGACAAATGCTTTGTGTGCCTTGGGCCTGTCGCCTTGAGCACAGGCTTGAATACGTTTCTAACTGATCACACGGAAATTGCCTATGGCGCGAATATGGCCCTATATGGAATCAGGATTTTATAAATTTACTATGCCAACCTCCCGACGGCGACAGGCACATTAATCGATCCCTAAGATAGAACATCTTTCTTTGAGAAATACAAAAGAGCCACTATAGAGGCTGCAAACAACACTTTAGGAACCTGTATCATGATATCGATAGATATTAAGTTAATAAGGATAAATAAATGTGGGTAGATTATTCAAATACTACCCCAGTTGTGCTGTTATCACCTGTGAGTCATTCTTTTCATTATCTATATTCAGTCTACAGGTGTACCCTTGCCCGATTTGGGTAGAAAAGTGTTACTTTTGGGAATAGATTGAATACCTTATACATATCAACGAAATGAATACTTCCTACACGCTTTTCTATAGAAATCTGCTACAATACAAGTTACACTGGTAACTTGTATTGTAGCAGATTTTTATTATATTACGTATTGTATATATATATTGTATATATATTTAGTATATTACGTACTGGTATTACGTGAACGTGTGTACATATAATATGAAACCTGCGAAGTTTCGTTCCAGGATAAAGTGTCATGATTCACGTGTGATGCTCTCAATTTTTTCGATAAAATCGTTTGTGAAGGCTCCGAAAATTAGATCGAATATCAAATTAAATATTCTCTTTGAGTGTTCTTCTGATTACTCATCGGACCTGTCGTTTTTATCCGATCTTCTATTGCTGTTAACACAGTTGATCTTCATGCAAAAATTTTTCAACGACGCTGCACCTGTATCTCTTTAGCACATCAAGTTTATGTACTCACTCAAATCGAATAAAATCAATCACCTTTACCGGACCAAGAAAAGCATAAATACACGATCTTCTGGCTATGATAACATTAACAGTAGTCCTCTATTGCGTTTTTGGCACGAGTATTTTTCTTCGATATACGTCACCCACATGAAGAAATTATGAAGCATTTTTTAAAAGCGTCTTTGAAAATTGCTGAACCCATTCCTGTGCTATACAGTCATTCGTTCCGATGCAGTACTCGACAAAGCTTGCTCCGCGTACGCACTCACGTGCAATCGAGAGCCATGCGTCACACGTTAAGGTAGCTATAAGCATACGGCAATATTCCACAGATAAATGAGAACAAACATACCTTCACTTGTAAAAAAACAAATCAATTTTACGTTCTGTGTATTTTAAAGATACATCGGAGTAAATTTTCTATAGCAGCCTGGAAAGGTAAACGCAGCTCAAGTATAATCTTCTAGAAAAATAACATTCAGGGCAGTTGTTTAAAATAGCGATTGGATATAGTTTGAAAAATGCTTAGACCAATATTGGCAATATTCACTTAATTTTTCACAGCTAAATTTTTATCTCAATTTAGTGTCAAGGCTTGAATTTCGAAGGTTCATTGTATTGCCCATTTCTTCCGAACTTTTAAAACTGCGGGCATAATGAATGAGCAGCTATGCCATAAGCTTGCTTCCCTTACATCGCGTTCTAAAACGACGACAGGGTTCCAGCTTAAAAAATCCTTAGCCAGTACCATCAGTAGACCATCAGTAGTTTAAAACAAGATAGCCAGGGAAATATTCGTAGGTTTTATTAGGTTCGGTTACGTTAGGTAGAAATGATGAAATGCAGTTCGTTTTCGGTACGCCAGCAACAGAGTCATCTTCCTCTACAGTTAGCCCAAAACCTGAACTTAACTTCTATAATATGTTGAAATAGTATGACGAGCATAGAACAAAATTGGCGAGTATGTGTGTCGACCACGGAACAAAGCGGACTGGATCTTAGAAAGATTTGCCACATTGGACTCCCAGATATTTTCGTCATAAGTTCCTAGTTACCGTGCAACTAGAAAAATCTCTAACGACATGACGTTAATAAGTTTATCATTATTCCTTAACTTCCGGTACCTAACAAAAAGGGGTAACTAAATTTATTATTACATACCAATTACTCCAAGCTAGGATCTTTTCACATCTGATATCTGTATTGAGTACTCTAGATTATCAAGAAAAGCCAGTATTAAGCCTAAATTCATCAATGGCTAGTAGGTTTTTCTAATCTAAGCTCCAAAGGCTTTCCCGACGTCTATACCTTCCTGCAGAACTAAAAGGCAGTGTATTAGGGCTTGAACTTGATCTGCGGTGAAAATATTAGATAGTAACTAGAAAATTTAGATCACATTTAACTTTGAAATAACAAATGCCCTTCAGCCACGTTGATAGCCTTGTTGGGGTTTCGCTATAAACCGCGGACGTAAACAGCTGCTTCTCATATTTTTCTCGCCAACTGGCCACGCAGTGTCCATCTGTTGACGGCTCAGTTCGGTGGAACGAGCAGGTAGAGTTTCCTGTTGCGAAGATCAAATTTTTAATACAAAGAAGAAACAGACACTGGGCTATTGAAAAAAGGTAGAGATATCAGCCTAAAAGTTTGGCTAAAGGCCTTCGGTTAGTTTCGCCTTTTCGTAGAATGTATGGATCATGTTATGTTAGCGTGTTTTACGAATTCACTCGAGTTTGTAGTTTTAACGTAGCTATCTATCCATCCTCTTCTGCTAATGTCTACCTAGCCTCGACCCATCTAAGATCGCAAAAAAATGCTACTCTCATGGATGGAATAGTGATCAGATAAATGAGATTCGGGTTGTCGAGTACACTTGCATGAAAGGGCATTTCTAGCTCGCGTGCAAATGCAACTTCCGGAAAATCTGATCTATGATGTACGTTAGGATTGGACTATTAACGAGTTCATCACTGACCGTTGTTCTTAGAGAACGGCGATATTCTTTTCTATCCTACATCTATACGCTAACCGATTTTTTCTCTCTAGTTGCTTACCCTGTACTAGTCGCCAGTAGCTCAATCATTTCCAGTACTTTTGGTTAGAAGACGTACCAAAATATTTCCATGGGGAAGCCTAGTATCGTATCTGGACAAGGCTAGAATAACCTCAGCGGTGTCAGAGTTATTCCCGGTTGAAGCTTTGTTCTTTCCTCGGGAGGGACTTAGCAACGTCGTCTGCTGACGTGTCTACCGTAGACAAGAAAGGGGACATACGTGTGAATTAACGGTGGTGCATTATGAGGTACAAACTCTTTTATTTAGCTGGTCATTACACACGTATCCGTTTCTATTCACTGACCTTTTCATAAAATGCCCATATTTTTACTGCTAGAAATAATTGGGTTTTCAACACCAATGACTGGTAGAAGAATTGAAACCTAACCTAACGTCAGGCTGAACTTATCAATTTAAATTGTTATTAAATAGATATCTGGACGGATAATTTGCCGATATGAAACACTGTTTTTTTTTGCGTGTTTCATCGTTCCTTAATTAGTCCTTTTCCTTTTTCAAAATGCATGATAATACATTTTCATTTCAGACAACGTTCATACGTTCATTCATACGACAAACATTTTTTTCAATATCATTTAACTGAATAATAGGAACTATAAACACATTGATTTTTATGAACGGTTTTATAAAAGTACGGTTTTTACAAATTCACCGGACTTCCTAAAATTAGTATATACTGATCAAGGACGGCGATATAAGTTAACCATTTTCACAGATAAAACAATTGCACGTAAAATCATATACTCTATGAAAACATCTTCAAATGGGAATAGATAATGCAGCTTGTTTAGCTCATTGGTTTCTTCTATTGTACGATTGAAAAAAGGGCCCACTTACCCGATTGAGAACCTTCCTAAACAGGTTCTATATAAGTGAGTACTACTGTGAACGAGCCAATAAATTCAATCTTGGTTAGTGTTAGAATCTGTCAGTCCTGTTGGTTTCTAGTTTAGATGCATCTCACGTTCCATGTACGTACATTTTCGTAGAACTGGAAACAACCCTCCCTAGGAGTGGCACCTCTTTCACATTGGGTGAGCATTTCAAGATATTACAGTCGTGTGAGCGAGTTCCCATCTAGTTATTTCTAATAACTTGAATGGCACCCTAATGTATCTATTAGGTTAGCACAATTATAATTCAGTCTCAATATTACCTAGTTAATGCTATTTGCTATGGTGGTAAACAGTCGCTAAAAACAAGCCAAGTTTCGTGTGTATATAACGTGTAATATATATATATATATATATTATACGTTAACTAGATAGGAAATCTCCATCAAATAGTATAGTATGACGAATACGTTGCACATGAATAATCATTTTTAACATTTAATGTTAATGTCAAGAGGTGCCAAAAAAAAAAAAACACTTCGTATAATAATCTCATTTAGCAAACAATTTTGTTTCTGGAATTCATTGTTGTTATTGTTGCTATGTTAGGTTGATCGGGTGCGGCCAGTCGAGAGCATCTCGTCTCAAGACGAATCGATAAAAACACTAGAGTATATAGTAGCTATGGAGGATAAATTGGAAGAAGAAGAAGAAACGGTGGATGAAGCTGAATTTTTGGGAGATGAGCTATTGGCGACAGGGGTGCTGGGAATGGCCGTCCTTGAAGGTGGCCATGAAGATCATTTAACAAAACCAGTAAATAACAAAAATCTCATTGAAATAACTCCTACAGCTAGTGATGGTGCTACCTATACAGGCAATCATCTCGAACTACCCATAGGTGAGCAATACTAATCACAATTGTCGGTTGTGTAACAAGGCTAGCCTGCTATAACTTTAATAATAAGTCTTAATTTCGTGATTTACACATTTAATAGTTACAAAGCCTGTGACACGTATGTCCCGACACAACTACTATACAAAGTTGTACGTTAGCGCGTTTTTACTCAAATTACAGGAAGTTTGTTGAGCATATTCGGCAAAAAATACTTTCAAATTCAACAATTATTTTTATTTACACTACACAATTTGTGTAAGCGAAGTTTATTTTATAAAGCCAATTATTCAACTTGTATTCTAGGGGATAGATACCGTATGTAACATAAGTAGATTTTTTTTTACTTATGTAAAATGTGTGGTTATTTCGCTATAGATAGAGGTATATCCAAGCGAATATGTTGCAGCCGCGAAATAAACAAAATATTGAATATCGTTCAA